AGTCGAAACTGATTAGTCTCTCATTCAGTTGACCCCCTAATGTTTATTAGGTTCTAATTACACTTACAAAGACTAAACTGCCCTCACTTAAGTGTGGGGCAGAGTACTCTAATAAMACAGCCACATAAGCAAAGTACTTAACTGACATGAGATTACTAAACTACCCCTATTCGGCTCACTCTAACAGTCATCATCCCACAACCCCCTATGGAAACCAAAATCCCAATTTAAAGAAAGGGGAGAACCTGGAGAAGGGAAGAATATTGAGACCACTTCTTTTTTATAAAAGGAGATGGAGTAAAGAGAACGAAAAAGGTCTTTGAGAGGTAAGTTGCCCACCCAAACATCTTCCCAGAAAATAATTGAATCTCTAGAGCAAACATCAAACATGACAAACTGGAGAAATTTGGAGGATACCATGTACTGCCTTCCAAGGTGTTGTTAGGGCTGGCTGCTGCTCAATGAGATACCCCAACATCTCAACCATTTTCCAAACAGCCATGAATACTAGCCACCACCTCGTGCCACAACCTCTCTCTAGTCTCTCCAACAGCCATCTCCACAGCCTCTTCCCCAGTAAAGCTTCATTATTTTCAACTAAATTCCCTAGACCCAATCACCCAACCTATTCACTATCTCCCACCTAACTAAATGATCCTTTTTCATTTCCCCTAGCTCCCAAATAAATTCCCTCATTAATTTTTCTAACTTCTTAACCTCTCAAGAGGGGATCCTAAACAAGAGAGGAAATAAACTGGCAAGTTCTTTTTCCAATGGATGAATTGACAAAACATATTCAGGGTGTTCCATGGTGCATGTTGTTTGTTGATGACATCACTTTAATTGACAAAACTAATGAAGGGTTAAATGCAAAATTAAGCCTATGTATAAATGCCTTAGAAACAAGACATTTTAAAGTAAGACTAAAATAGAATATATGGCACGTAAATTTAATAAAATGAGAGTGCAAATCAGGGTACACTTAGGATTGGAGACCAAGAGATTACTCAATGTAACTTTTTTAGTACCTTGGTTAAATCATAACAAGGGAGAGATTGACAAGGAGGTCACCTATAAAATTAGAGCAGGAGGGGGAAAATGGAAGGGTGCATTTGGAGTTTTATGTGATAGACAAATACCACTTAGATTGAAAGGAAAATTCTATAAAATAGTTGTAAGGCTAGCTATGTTGTATGGAGTAGAGTGTTGATAGTCAAGAAACATGTCCAGAAAATGAGTGTGGCAAAAATGTGTATTTTAAGAACTTAGAAGTAGCTCCAATAGGTGATAAAATGATAGAAAGTAGACTAAGATGGTTTGTTCATGTGCATAAAAGACCATCACCAAACGTATAAGAAATTATTTCTTACAAGTTGAAGGGGCTATAAGGGCAAGGGGGTAGAGTAAAAAGGACATAGAAGTAATAAAGAAATGATTTAATAGGTGCCAATAATTTAACAATGAATATGGTATAAAGAATGGACTAGCAAAGTAGGATTCATGTAGCTGACTCCATATAGCTGGGACAAGGCTTGGATGATGATGATATTCGGTGTGTAGGCCTAAGAAACTTTTTTTTTTTTTTGAACAGTAACAGAAACATTTCATTAATGAAAAATGAGATATAGGTATAAAGGCAGGGGGGAGATAAACTCTCTTAATTCCCCAAAAAAGGATAAAAGATTACATATAAGCCCAAAACAAATGATTTCTTCCCACCCCTTGTTTGGTCAGTGCGTCTGCATTGGAATTAGCACACTTCTTGACGTAGGCCTAAGAAATTTGGTCCTTTGGGTTTTAGAAGAATAGGGTTCTAAATAAAGCTTTGATGGGAAAAAATGGTCTTGGAGATTTGGGATGAAAGGAAAATAGCTTTTAAGTATGAAGTGGTGAGATTTGGGTCAGATCCTAGGGAAGTAACATCAATGGATTGGATGCCTTTGGAAAGGGATTGTATTTATACATTTTCATCAGCCTTTTATGGGTCTTATTGAGTTCAAGGAGGATAAAGGTCCAAAATTTTGATTTTAGAAAGATGATTGTAGTAGTATAAGAAAATAAAGTGACTTATGTCCAAGGGGTGTATGTCTTCTTTTCTTGTTAAATTCTTGCCAACAAGCTGTATATACACAAGGGGCGTACATGGTCTAAAGTTGTAACGCTTTTTGTCTATATCATTAATAAAATAACTTACTTCTTCAAAAAACAAAAGATTTTACAAGTTGAGCTCCAAGGATGATTACAATTAATTAATGCTTAGAATTTAGTAATGAAAGGGTTCCTTGGTGTCTAAATTTTAGAAGGCCATAGTCAAATGGAGAATTAGAGGAACGCATCATTTTGTTAAGTTTGAATATTAACATATTTCTCCAGTTCTAGATGGTAGATGGTAAAAGTACATGGAATTGGCTCTTTGCTATTAAGTCTTATTATAATGCCATTATTCATAATCAACTGGAATTTGTTAAGATTAAAGATGCATGGGATATCCTATTCCTCCTAGAGTTGAACCATTTACATGGTTGGTGCCTTTTGATAGTATTCAGACCATAGATCACTTGAAAAGAAGACGATCATACTTGAACAGTTAGTGTTATATATGATGCCAAACATTTGTTTGTTTATTGCAGGTTGACTATTTTTTTGTTTAGAAGAAAATTTTTTGACCTGAGCATATGCAGTAAGTCTTTTCTTCTGGGCTGAACTCAATGGAACTAAGAAGGCAAAAATCCTCTAGAGCTGTGTTCCTTTCGCTGTGTGTCGGTGCATTTGGAAAAAAAAGTAGTGAACTTAAATGAAAAAAAAAAGAAAGATTGCAAAAAGATTTATGTGCTGATGTGGGTAAAAGGATGTTGGGCTGGATTTTGGCACATCCAGAACTTTCTAATTTCATAAATCCCTTTTTGGTTCTAGTACTTGGTCCATTCTTGACATGATGTCTGGCATTGGAGATTGATTTTTTATTTTCTTCTGTGTTTTTCCTTTGGTTATATTGTGCTGTTTGGGGTGTTTATTCATCACCCCTCCTCTTGAATGTACTCTTCTCTTATTTTAACCTCCCTTGCATTTAGCACTAGAAGTGTACTCCCTTGAGGAGGGGTGGAAAAAAACTATTAAAGAATCACATATTATACTATTAAACCCACAAAAGGTTTAGAATATCATAGACGGTGTTTATCAATTTGTTACCATCTCTATTTCTTAACTACCTATGTTGCAAGAACCCAAAGCTCATTTACAACGCGTAGCATATAAATGCCAAAGAAAATATTTATGAAACAGTAATCAACAAGAGACTAGAAACCAAAACAAACACAAACTCAGAGAAAAGACTAATCAAGTAATACACATTAGCTAATACATGCACACCCATAAATGAATAAGAACTCTTGAAAAAAAATATATCAATACCAGAAGCAGAGAAGAGGAACTTTCCCCAGGAGTGATGAAGAAATGAATTGGGTATGAGCAGAAATGCAAGTAAAGGTGAATAACGATATGTGGATCTCTCATAAGGTGACTTTCCAGAAGCCATTAGAGATGCCGCATCAGAGAAAACAAGGTAATCAACATCTGTATATCGGACCTCCATATGGGTATCTTGCCATTCACCATAGATTATCAGAACTACTCGAAGAACAGCTGAAAACAGAAGAAGTGACCGGAAGTCCATCGATATTATAGCTGTGCAAAAGGAATAAACTGAGCTTCAGACCCAATGACGTAAAAGCCTTTTTTATTTTGTTATAAAGATAGAATTTAACAGGGCCTACTGAAGAAGGTATCCACTATCCAGCTGTCTGCTACAAGAAAAGATAGTAAACTAGATGGTAAATCATGAGACCGTAGTACTAACAGATGGGAATTAATCCCTTCATTGGATATCCAGTCCACTACCAAATTATCTTCATGATTGTGTAGGAATTCCACCTCTTGAAGAAAGCATTTTGGACAATTCAACGGTATCTATTATTAGAGAATTAATTCACTATGGAACTTCAGAAAAACAACTCAAGGGTATCTATTATTAGAGAACTAATTCATTATGGAACTTCAGAAAATTGATTATAACCATCTATGACAAGCTTTAGTCTCCTTTTTTAAAACATATTATATTAAGAAAAAAAATGCAATGTTACAATACAAAATGCAGTTAATGTTGTAGGAACTTAAGAACCTTTTTGTCTCTGAACCTTTATTCTACACTTGACATCCAAATCAATACCACAAATCTCAAAATTAAACAACAAAAACTTTTTGTGAAGATAAAGAAGGATAGAAATTGAAAAACAATTTACCCAAATACACCATTTCTACCCAGAATATTCTAAAAAGAGAACCATAGGCTACTGGATGGTTTTTTCATAGTAATGCTGTAATTGAACTAAACATTGACCCAGAGGTACAACAAAAGACCAAATTCAACACTAAATATCCAAAAAAAAATCAATCAAAAGCCTGAAAAAACCAAGAAAACCCATAATTTCAATAACAAATCCTTGAATCTTCTCTATTGAAGAAATCTATATTACTATTAAAGGTGTGGAATGATAGTGTGGAACTTCTGTTTGACTAAAATACCTCAGTTTTTTAATTCAGTCCCTATCTAATTGTAACGACAAAATGTAGCTTGAACAACCACATTTCTGATTCAACTTCCCTCATTAAGTCTTATATTTAAGGTATTAATTCCCACTAACATTCATTTAGTCATATTTTTACTAGAATACCCTTATTTTTTAATTTGGCCCCTCTCTAATTGTGAGGGCACAAAATGTAATTTGAACAACTACATTTCTCCCCATTCAATTCCCTCTCATYAAGTCCTATATTTAGGGTATTAACTCCCATTCTTTCATTGAATTCTATATTAATTAACCACATTAAAGAAAAATAAGTGTGACAAAAGAATAATTGTTTTTATTGAAGAAATAAATAAAATACAAATTTAAAACCAAGACAAAAATGGAGTTTTTTTCCCTGTTTGGTGGTGAGTCAACAACTCAACCTCTTGGGTAAAATGTGTCAACCATAGATTTCCTAATTAAATAATAATAAAAAATAAAAAAAAAAGATAATAACACACAAAAGCATAAGAAATACAAAAAGTTTGTAGAGAACACTTGGGCACATCTCCAATATTGTATATTCATCATAATAAACAAAAATAAGTATGACAAATAAAATAGTTTTTATAGACATGAAAATATAAAGGAATTGTAGATGATTTTGGAAACGTATTATTTACTATCATCATTTTTTTATAGGAAACGGTAACTTTCATTAGAGAATTGAAAAGATTATAGGCTTACCACACACAAAATGGATGGAAAAGAACAAAAACTTACAAACAGGCCCAAAACAAAGCCTCCCTAGTAACTCCTTGCTTAGCTGAAGTATAGCCATTCCATTTGCTGACCTTCTTACCCATTTAAAATGCACCCCAATCTCCCTTGCTAAGCTAATAATCTCTCTTAGAGGCTGTCTAAGAGACCACACTCCCAGGTTTCCAGCTTGCATCCACCCTATTACCTACCATCTTGGAGTCTCCTTCCACTTCTAATTGTTGCATTCCCCATTGTTTCACTAGTTTCAAACCTTGAAGCAAAGCCATTACTTCTGCCCTTAATGAATCTCCCACCCCAATGAGGTCAGCAACATGAATTGTGTTTCACCATTCTGTTCTGTACATCCATTGCATGTATATGAGTATCAAGGCTCTACAATGCTAAAGGCTAAGACAAGGCAGTTAGGACATAGAGAGAGAGGTGAGGAATCAGCCTCAAGTTGTTTTGAACCATAAGCCTCAAAAAGTCATTTTTAACATTCCAAAAACAAATAAGACATGGAAGGAAGATGTAATTAAATTCCTATGCAATCCTATATAGCTTATTTGGTAAACAAATGATCTTATTACCAACAGATGCAGGTTCAAGTTCCAGCAGAATTGTTTCTCCAAACAAGCATAAACAATACTATATTCAAAATGTTTATGCAAAACCAAACATCTATTAGATCATTAAAAAGTATCATAATCCACAATCTAAAGTCACTATTTTAATAATATATTCATGAAAATTTATGTTAACAATCCAAAAAAACCTCTCTTATTCAAATGAAAAGACCAATGAAATTAACACAACAACAAAAAAATAATAGAGTTTCTTTGCACTTTTGACAACAACAAATCAGAACTCTAACCTGTAGAGATCACAAGAAGTTCAAAAATAAATAAATTATATAATAAAAATGAATGCTGCATTTTCTGTTGACATTTCTTTAGTGTTAAAATGGAAACTTTATTTGGACTTGGTGATTAGCACAACAAAAAACAAGCAGTAAGGGCATAAAGTTTCCAATTATTTCCATTCCTTTCAGAAAAAAAAAAAAGAATAAAGTTATAAATAACTCCATGCATCAAAATAATAAATCCCACCATATATCGGTCATTCTTAGTGTGCTTGATTTCTGAGATGGGATCAGAGCACCAAACACTGTGCCATATGAATGCTTGTTTTTGAAAACTAGGAATACTACAAGGAAGAAAGAGTACACAGAAATACTGAAAAGTAGAAAACTAWACAGATCTGGGCTTGCACCCTTTCATTCATATGCACCACCGCTACATAAAGACCAGACTTAAAATGACAAAAAAATACCCCTGCTTCCATATTCAATGAATAAAACAGAAAATAATAATAAAGCTAAAAGATAACTAAGACCGTCAACACAATTTTATGAAAATCAGAAATATGAAACTGATATTTTGGTACACTTAAAAACTGACTGAGTTACCCATTTCCCATATCTCAAAATACCCCAAACAACTATATTGCTTTGCTAGAGATGAGATCTTTTTTAACAAGTAAAGAAAATTTTATTAATTCAGAAACTGATTTAGAACTGTAAGCTCATACAACAGCCCTTGGAGAGGCGTGAGCTGCAGCCTCACCCAACAGATTACAAGGAAACTTGAAAGAAGGTGCAGAAATTACAACTGTGCCTACAACAAATCTTTCCTATTTGCCCCTTGGTTAGCTAATATATCAGCCGATGCATTTATTAATCTCTCCACACACTGTATAGAAGTAGACACATTCCTTGTCAGCCATTTGAATTTCTTGATTTCATTGTTATAGCACTACACAGCATCCTCGGGGTTCTTCAACCAGCCCACCACCACCTCGGAATTCACTTCAAAAATTAGCTGCTCTATAAGCAAATCAATGGTTGGGGTTTAAAGTGATTTTGGAGGGAGATTAATTGTGGGAGAGGGCTGGCAGGCCAGCCATGTGAGAGATTCTTTCAATCAATCAAGAGAATATATGGAATGTCTTAGTGATAAAAGCGTAAATTTACCTAAAATAGATTTTCCAAGTTTAGGTGATTGGAGAGATATTAGGTAGTAAATTTTGAATTTGAAGATTATTCTAGAGGTTGGGAACAAGATATAGTTGTGTGGGTCCCTCAGTTCAAAGCTTCAATGAAAAATATTCTAAACAGAGGATTCAGGTCGAGTTTAGCTTCGGGTCTCAAGTTGGAGGGGTTAACAATGTCGGAATTGAACAACCTTGGTATCATTGGACTCGGAATTTTGAACTCTATGCATCTACAGGGTTGCATTTCTGACTTTATGTAAGGTATGGTTCAGGATCGAAAAAGATTCCAATCGGATGATCGAAATCAGTTTCAGCTTCCAGTCTTTAAATCAAGGGGTAAGCGGTGTCGGATTTGGTTAATCTTAGTATTATTGGACTTGAAATTTTGGGACCTATGTACTTATGGTGTCAGATTTGTGACTTGGTGTGGGATAAGGTTCATGATAAAAAAGATTCCAATCGGATGATCAGAACTGGTTCCAGTTTCGGGTCTTAAGATGAAGGGGTAAATGGTGTCTGATTTGGGCGATCTTGGTATTGCCAGATTTGGAATTTTAGGATCTATGTACCTACATGGTTGGATTTTTTACTTGATGTGGAAATTTTTCAAGATTAAAAAAAAAAAAAATCCCAATCAGACGATCGGAATTGGTTCTGGCTTCAGGTCTTAGGATGGAGGGGTAAGTAGTGTCAAATTTAAGTGATCTTGGTATCATCGGATTTGGAATTTTGGGCTCTACATACCTATGGTATCAGATTTTCTAATCTAGAGGTCCAAAGTTTTACAAAATTCCAAGAATACCCTTGGATCAGCTACAAGATTAGCTGAAGCATGCTCAAAGCTCTAAGTGTTGTAGAAAGATTGAAGGGCACAAAAAATGGGGTATCTACACATTATATTGCCAAATAACACTTGGGTGGCTCTTACCATGTTATTAGAAAAATATTTGGAACATCAAATACATATCCAAATTTGTCACTCATAAGGAAAAAAGGTGGAACTATATTAAGAAAAAGAAAAGGAAACAATTGTATGACAATATGAGTCATTATCTGAAGTTAATAAGGCCTGAATCTCTGAAGCTATAACAGATTGTCAGATTCTACTTCTTGTGAACGTTGATTACGAAACCAAGGGAAATACCTATATAGTAGATTAAGCTAGTTGCCAACATTGTAAAGCAAAATAAGGTTCTAAAGTTTCTACTTGGGTGGAAAAGGCGTGGTTTGAAAAGTTTGAAGGCCTTAAAACAACAATCAATTGAGGGAGTAGGTGATTCCTTAAGAGTGAAGGACATGGCTACTATAGAAGGGTTCAAAGAGCAATGAATGTAAATAAGTTAGTTATTAAGGGAGATTCTAAATTGGTGATGGAGTGGTGGTTAAAGAGTGAGGAGGCAATACTATAGCAGTATAGAAATGAGCTAAAAAAGTTCCTATGGCAGACTAAAGAGATGGATGTAAGACTTCAATGGGTTCAAAGAACAGCCAACAGCATGGCCGATGAACTAGCCAAGCCAGGGGTGGGGAGATAAAAACTTGTTATCACTCCCACTATTGCTTGTAATATGTACTTTTAATCTACATTAGTAAAATGCTTACTTATCGATAAAAAAACAATTTCTCTAATTTAGCTGGAAAACACAATTGTGAGTGTCGGGAAACAGCTCACTTGGGCTGAAATGGAGTCACCACCCATCAGATATGAAAAGGAGGTGATGGGACCTCCGAGATATACATCAGAAAGCATTTTGGTTTAGCAGTGACTCCGAAGCCCAGGCATTGGCTACACCAATCCGGGTAAGACTCGGATGGGAGAGGGAAGGGGTTAAGCACCCATCTCCCGGGTCCAATAGGTGGGGCCCACATGGGATTCTAAACAAACACAATGACAAATACATACTTATTTAATTGAATAAAAAGCATAATAAGGCAAAGAAAATAGAGAACAAAACATCAAAAGAGAATCCCCCCATTATAGTTTTATTTATTTTTTATTTATATTTCTTTTTTACTTTTTTGTTGTTTTCTTATGGAACCCTATTTATTTACTTATTATTTTATTATTATTATTATTTTGTTCTAATTTTTTTGAATCTTTTATATTTTCTTAAGTTTATATTTTTTACTTTTCCCTTTTCCTTATTTTTGTATTTTTATATTTTTTTTACTATTTATTAGTAGCTTATTCTTTCTCCTATTACTTAAGTATGGCTGAATCGATTTTACTGACCTCTCCAGTTAACTTCTTTTTGCCTAATTTATTTATTATTTCATTTTTTATTTTTTTATTGTTTTATTTTTGTTATTCTCTTTTTTTTGTAATTAAGCTAATTTATTCTCCCCGGATGATCATTCTTTCCTATTAAGCATCTAAAAAAAACAAAAGATCCTCTCTGCCCTCATATTTCATTCCTGTCATCATCTTATAGTTCTCTTCTTTCTTTTTTCTTTTTGTTTTTATTTTATTTCTTACTTTAGTCGAAATCCCATTTCTGGTAGCAGTCTCACTGCTCGCGGGAGTATCACAGTTACGGTCTCTTCCCACCCTTGATAATAACATGGCCAACAGAATCCAGGGCCTCCCCTCTCAGCACCAAAGACTAAACCAAAAACAATTGTAATTCAAATAAACTTACTCAATGTTGAAAAAGAAGTAAAGTATCTAGATTCTTCAAGTCAAAACCAGCGAAACCAGATGATCTCCACACTCAATCCATTCGTAGTAAACACAGAAAACATAATGGGCAGGTAAAATGGAGCTCACCTGAATTGCGTTGTAGACGAAGATCGGTTGCTGCAACAGAGTATGTGAATTTCCTGGGTTTGGATCACTCTCTCAAACTCCCATAATCATCCAAACTAATAGCTCTGTTTTGCTGAGCCACTAAGAAAGAAAAATAGAGGGGTTAGCAACGTTCGTCGCAGCTGTTCTCAAGTAGCCGTAGCTAAGTTGGGATTTCGACCTAAATTGAACCGATGTAGCAGGAGATTTCATTGAACTCGACATCAAATTCCCAAATTCCTAGAAATGGCAGAGGATGATCTCGAGATGGATAGAAATGAGTTTATTCGGTGATGGATCTTCCACCTGCAGCAGCTCGTTCGATTTAAGCGGCAGAATTTGTAGGAACRGAGGACTCAACCAATGGTTGGGACGATCAAAACAATGAGAGAACGTGGGAAAAGAATGGGAGAAAGAAATAAGCTCGAACACGGTTGAACTTTACGCTGGGGTATAGCAGGAATGAAGGAGGAATCCCGCCACTGAAGCGCCTCTATTATCGTCGACGATGGCGATGAACTATGACTTCATCGAAAAGAAAAGAGGACAAACAGGGAACGAGAAGAGAGGGAAAGATGGAGAGAATGGGAGGTCGCCGCAGCCGTTCAGGCGTCGAAGAACCGAAAGAGAGACGTTCGGCCGCCGCTGGTTCTCTTTCGGAGAGGAAGACGACCAGTGTGAAGAAAAGGAGAGATAGAGAGAGAGGGGGGGAGGAAAAGACTGAGGCGAGCTCTGCCGCTCCAAAAACGTGAAATCTGAAAATGTAGCTTTTCACATCCTCTATTTGTTTTACATCTTAAATTTGATCTGAATCTTATTTTCATATTTGAAAAATAATAGAGATTCGGCCGGCTCATAATGCGTTCAAACACGTTTTAGAGCTGTGCATAATCCAAAATACCCTTACAATATTTTGGAAGTGATGTGTGCTACCCATATCTTCTCTCGTGCTCGAACTAGTGGCATTTTTATAATTTTGGGCATTTAGGTCAAATTGGGTTCAAGGATTAAACCAAGGATTCTGGTACAATGGTGGGGATTTTTTGGGCAAAAAATGAAGGGTGCAGATTGGTCTGCCCACAAAGAGGGGTTTTGTGTGTGCAGGCTAGTGAGATTGGCCGAAACAGAATCTTTTTCGATGAGTGGGTAAATTGAAATTTTTTTTGCTGAAATTTGACATGGTGGGGTTTTCGGACATTCTAAGTTGATTGGTAGGGTTTGATTGGGACAACTAGCCCAAATCAAGCAGATCTGGAAACGGGTCTGATTTGGCTAATTTGGAGCCTCATAACGAAATCTGCATGTGATCAAGGGGCAAATAAAGGCAGCTTCGGGTGAAATTTCATAGGGTAGGGTTTTTGGGCAATCTAAGGTGATTTGTAAGGTTAGATTGGGCCAACTGGGCCGTTATCAGGTGAATTTGGACTCTGGTCAATCTAGAGCCTTGAAATGGAATCTTGGTAAGGTTGAGAGTAAATGGAGGTGTTTTGGGCTAAAATTTCATATGTAAGGGTTTTATGCCATTTTGGGGTGATTGGAAAGGTTTGATTGGTTTAGTTGTGTTTGGATCAAGTGGATATGGATTGTAGAAAGGGATCAAAATGGAATCTTTGTTTTATAAGAGGGTAAATAAGGGACTATTGGGTTGAAGTTTCATGGGAAGGTCTTTCAGCGTGTTYGGAGTCTAATGATGGTGTCTAATCAGTCAGGGGGTCAAGATTGTAGGAATTTGGGTCAAGGGGATGTTTTTGGTTTGATGAAAGGACAAATGGGAGAATCTGGGATTGAAACTTCATGGGCATGTGTTTTGATATGTCAAGAGTTTAATGGTGTGGTTTCATCGGTTCAAATGTATTAAGATCGAGGAAATTTGAGTTCCGAGTTTTTAGGCTAAGGAAAGGCATCAGAATGAAATCTTCACTTGATAAAAGGGTAAGCGGAGGAATTTTGAGTTCAAATTTCATGGGTAGATGTTTTGGGAGGTCCTGGGTCTAATGGTTGTCTCTAATCTAATTGTTGAGGTGTGAGTAGGGGTCGATCGTGGTCATTGAATAGGTATCGGGAAGGTTTAACAATGAATTTTAGGGTTTGGGGGCTGAAAGTTGGGTTTCTTGGGTTTTTGGTGTTTTAGCGAGATTGGAGGGGTCTGATCAGGCATTTGAGGTAAATTGGAGGTTCAGATAATAGACCATGCAAAAATCGGATGCTGACAACATTCATCAAATTAACTTAGAAACTAAGCACGTTCTATATCCATATCCTGAAAAACTAGAAAAATAGTAAAAAAAGAAGTTACTCCTAAACTTTAACCACATTCAAATGGGAAAAAAGGAAAATCATAGACAAGGCTGGTCAAGGAGATCATGAATCAGGAAAATTTGAATGAAAAGTTGCTAAAAAAAATTGAACAATGTGGGGAAGCCTGATGTCAAATGGTACTAACTTCTAGAGAAAATTGTTATCTTTTGTAAAGATAATTCTTGAAATTCTAAGAAGTATTGCATATTAATCATAAGCATTACATTCCTATTGACCCCTTGTTTGTAATTTTTCACTACTGTTGTCTCCGTAATTTTCTTGTATTTTTCTTTTAAGGAGAGGTTGCACCCCTCTCCTTCAATGCCTATACTATCTATCATTTGATTAATAAAATCACAATTCAATTATCAAAAAAAAGCATAAGCATAAGAAAGAAAAACTAATATGCTTTTCAGCTATAAAAGCATATTAGTTTTTAGCAATTAGCTCTTTTGTACCAAAACTAATATGCTTTTCAGCTATAAAAATAAGAAAGAAAAACTAATATTGCTTAACTTACAAAGAATAATCACCAATAAAAGTTATAAAGTAAGAATGTTGGTTGCGTGTCCAAACATTTAGGGGACCATATACATTTGTATGTATTAGGTCAAGTGTGTTTGTACTTTTTTCAAGCTTATCTGTAAATGGCCTCTTTGTCATATTGCCTTGAAGGCAAGATTCACAAGTTGTTAGATCTTCTACTGTGAGACAATCTAGAGGACCATCCTTTACCAATCATGTGATTCATTCTATGTTTATGTGTCCAAATCGGTAATGCATGTGGGGTTAATAGTTTCTCATGTTCTTTTCATGGGGATGTATTTCGATGTTGTTTTGGTCAAATTTGTTTACAAACAAAAGGTGGAGAACATAAAGACCATTATCAAGTTCTCCATAAGTAAGGAATTTGTCATTCAACTTAACAATAATCTTATTACTGAATAAAATAGAATAACCATCATTACATAACTTTGAAACTAAAATCAAATTTCACCTAAGCTACTAAACATAAAGACAATCTTTTAAGTAGGGGTGCAAACGGTATCCGATAACTCGATTCTGAATTCAATATCCGACATAATTGAATCAAATTCGAATGGTTCAATAAATTTAATGGTCGAATTCGAATTTATACATTTTACCGATTAGTTTATCGAATTCGAATTTGAATTCGTGTTGATCCGATTCGATAAAAATTCAAACTCAATTAAATATATACATTTAGTATATATTAATAAAAATAATAAAATATAAAGGTTAAAGTCATAAAGAGGGGTCATGCCGAGTCCATCATAAAAAAAGCTTATAGCTACTGTCATTCTCGATAAACCCCTTCCCTCCCCTCTCTCTCTCTCTCTCGTCAAATCATCCTTTCCTCTCCTACTTTTACTTTATTTTATTTCTACAATTATATCACCTAYTGTCATTCTCAATAAACCCCTCCCCTCCCCCCTCTCTCTCATCCAATCGTCCTTTCCTCTCTTGTTATTTTATTTTATTTTTTATATAAATCAGATACCAATTTCCTCTCCCGCTTTTAATTTCTTCTTCCTTCTCTTCTCTTCCTCTCTCTCCCTCCGTCTTTTCTATTCACACAGTTGCACACCTCTTCTCGTCCTCTCCCTTTATTCTTTTTATTCCCAATCTTTGCAAGCTGTGAACACTTATGGCAGCATCAATGATAGCAATTGAGCACCAGTCACCAGCCACTACCATCTCCTTTGCCGCTACTCAAGCTCAAGCTCAAGATCAATGCCTCAAGGCCCTCAACCTTCTAGTATCATCGGCCATTGTGCTGCAACATTCYAGCATCACCRTCCAACACTGCTCACTACCATTGCATTCGCACCGCTAGGAACCCACGATTGTCGTCGTCACACACACACAGACTTGGCCCACTACCCGGAACCCATGACTGCCGCCATCAATCTCCTACATCTTTTCTCAAGCTAATCACTTGTTTTTCTTTGCCAACTCAGTCTAGGCCTCATACCGGTCGAATTCGAATCGAATCGAATATTCAATTTAATAATCAAATTCGAATTCGAATTTGAACATTCGACATCCATTGGATATTGAATCAAATTCGAATATTATTTTTTATAATCGGTTTCAAATTCGAATCTAGCCTGATTCGATTCAAATTCGATCCGTTTACAAGCCTGCTTTTAAGGTAATTATCCCTTCTCTAAAAACTAAATCTACTGATCATATAGCAACAACTGTAATGGTTGTAGATGTACCCATGTAGAGAACAATCTCGTCATCACTCAACCTTCAACTTTCTTTGAACCCCATGCGAAGTGTTACATGCATGAGTAGAAACCCCAAAGTCAATACACCAAGACGTAGAAATGACTAACATATTGCTCTCTATGACCTGAGTTTCGAAAATACATTTCTTCTTCTTCTTAAAGAATTCTAGATATTGAGGACAATTCCTTTCTAATGCCCAATCTATTTGCAGAAGTGACATTCATCTGATGATTTGTCTCTCTTCTACTTCATTGGTTTGCCACCCTTCTTCTGAGGTCTCTTCTTGTCCTTTCGTTTATTCTTTTCAGATTTGCCCCTTTCAATAAGCCTAGCTACTGCTTATTCTTTTTAATCAATGCCTCAGCTCTTTGCAACATATTATCGAGATCTTGCAAGATAGCTTTTAGGTTGTTCATATTGTAGTTGAAGACAAACTAAATAAAAGACGTGGGTAGAGAATTTAAAATGGCATCAATTTTTGTATCATCATCTAATTTGGACCCAAGAGCCTCCAATTCTTTTATGAACCCTATAATCTTCATGACGTGATCATGAACCGACTAGTTCTCGGACATCCTAGTGGGTCATCAACAATTTGAGAACCTTTTATCATATAGAACGATTTTGCTCCTCATACATGTCCTTCACATTATTCAAAATATCTTTGCAAATAGTTATTTTATCAAATTGTCTCTAGATAGAATTCTCTAGTGAGGTGATGATGTAACAATGAACAAGAGAATTACTTTCTTCTCATTCCAAATATTCATTCTTTCTTGCCTCAGAAGCTCTTTCATCGGAACATTCTGATGCCTTATCATTGGCAATTTTGTGCAATTTTTCAAATGTAAGCACTAGGTTAAGGTTGTGGATACAGTCTACGTAGTTAAGTTCCTTGAATTTGTTATCATCTAGCAGTTTAGCGAATGGTCCTTGTGCCATTTCTGACAAATGGAATGAGTAATTTGTCCACAACTTGATTATTATTTCATGTTACATACCGTAGAATGAACTTTTTTCATTTGTTCATCTTTGATATTTCCCTTTATCACAGGGATAGAGACGTTATTCATGTCTCTACAAAAGTGGGAAATCACATAAGTGCATGAGGCCAAGTTTTTCATCTGCATAACCCTACCACTTTCTATGAATGATCATAAATCCACCCATATCTTATGAGCTTCCTTTTTTGGCCTCCATTAGACAAAGTTAATAT